CCATTTTTTATTATTTATTTTATAATTTATTATTCATTATTTATATTATTCTTTTATGTATACAAACGAACCAAGAAGCACTAAACATCAAGCACACAAACTATATGGAATGTATGATATTTTCTGCCAAAGAAAGGAATGGTCTTTTCTCTCATCGCTACGTTGCCTGCACTTTTATTACCTTTCGTAATGAAATTGGTAAATTATCCCACTGTGGCTTATAAGGTTCTCTCAATGTACACTTTTCAATACAATGTTTAAAGTTAATTTATAGTATATACTGTAGAGTTTCTGTAGTGCAGTGTTTTCTGGTGTGTTGCACAAGATCAATTTCAGTTATTTCTTGCATATTTAGTCACTGCTACTGTCACAAAGCAAGAGGGTGACAACAGTTGACAGACTGGACAAACTGTAGCTACAAGCCTCAGCAACAGGATTATGCAGAACACACACCATAGCACATGACCTCAGGCACCCCCTCAACCCATTCTTCACACTGCTTCCATCTGGTTGTACAGATCCCTAGCCTGGAAGTGGGCACGCTATGGCAGTTTTGACAGCCGTGTGTAAGTGTTATATGTATAAGATGTGTGTAGAAATGCGTATCTGACGTCTTTTATTTCAAATCTAGGCCTAACAGATGGCGAAATGTAATAGAAATAATAGGACCAGCCATGTAACGTTTATGCAGTTTTTACATAATGAGGATAACAAGTTGTACGGGACAATTTCAGCATTATAGGACAGCCTTAAAACAAACAAAACATGCCCAATCCCATTCACCAAAGCAAAAGGCTAAATTTAAAAAGCTGCCTACATCATCACCTTCACGGCCTTGCAGAAGATCCCTGCTGGCTGGAGAGCAGGGGACTAGATGCAGCGGGGAGTGTGATGTGAGTTGTTGTGGATCAGTAAGCATACAGGAGGTTGTGTGCCCACAAACCTTTAGGTTCTGTTGTGTTTATGTAGAAGTAGGCAACTGGCACCTCATTGAGAAATATGATCCTGCTTAAAAGGTGAAGAGACCATCTACCAAACTTTGATTCCCTTACTGTTAGACTCCATACTATTAAATTTGGCTCTCGGAACATATACTGCTAACAGTTGACCCTCTGAAATGGGTCATTAATCTGGAGATTGTAGTCTAATACATTTTCATACACTGACTGATTGAAGGTTGAAGTTGAAAGTATTGTAAACGAGCTGTAAACACAACTTAGTTGATAGGGCAAACTTGTTAGCAAAGTTCCTACTTATAGGTGCCTACTTATATGTTGAGCAGATATGGAGAAACATTAACATTCATAAGCAGTCGTGTTTCTATCTACCTTTTAAAATGTGAGTCCAATATTCATTCCCCCTCTGCCTCTGTTTTTGGTCTCCATAAACTCCAGAGGGAAATATCTGGCTCCGCTCAGTGTTCAACAGCTAGTTGTTAACATTGTCTGTTGGCTGTTTGGTGCTTGGCAGGTAACATACACTGGGTTTATTTATGATTATGAGAGCAGTGAAAATGAATAACTAAAACAGTAAAGATGCAGGCCAGACAACCAAAACAATGAGCTAAAAGATCCTAAAAGGGGTCATGTGATCCATAATTAATAACATTTTTTACAATAGCCGCTTTAAAGGTCCAGTGTGTAACATTTCAGAGGATCTATTGGCAGAAATTGAATATAATATTGATAGGTATGTTTTCTTTAGTGTATAATCACCTGAAAAGAAGATGCCAATGTGTTTTTGTTATCTTGGAATGAGCCATTTTTATCTACAGAGGAAGTGGGTCCTCCTTTCCACTTTTCCTCAAGTTGAACCACCATGTTTCTACAGTTGCCCAGAACGGACAAACCAAACACTGGCTCTAGATAGGGCCTTTTGCATTTTTTTTTGCAATGCCACCATAGTTTCTCCTATACACTTGGAAGGTTGAGCTGTCAGATTGCATACTGTCGTAGTGTGGTTTGGATGCAGTATTCAAAGAGCTGAATATGTGTTGTGTTATAGCTATAGCTAGCTTACATTACATTGTAAATTTGGTGATCTGCTCCAGCATATATTAAAAGTAAATATATAGTCCTTGATTAAGTCATTACAACAGCTCTTAATAGCTCTTTTAAATTCTCTTCCTAGCTAATATTTCTAAATGTTATTCCATTGTTGATGTTTTGAAACTAAACACAGTTTAGTTATGATTTAAACATCAATATTGATCTGGAAGGAATTTAGGGGTCTTGTGGATAATAAAATATGGAAATGTGTATTACCGGTTGATGTTGTTCATTTGGACAAATGTTTCAATCCAGAAAGCTCCCAGTTCTCACTGATACAAGGTCGGCCCGGAAGGCAGTGTTGCTAAGCAACAGGTAAGAATAATAACAGTGGAGGATATCGTTTATAAGACAGGTTAAGGTTAGATAGCTTAAAACACTCTGAAGATATAACAAGTCTTGACAATATTCATTGACTTCATCATCCTCATTGAATGCTTCCACATCAGCATCTGAATCAAAGCCCGACTGATGGGGGATTTTACCAGCAAATTACAATAATGATATTTAAGAGATTCAAAACATATGATTAGCAGATTCATTTGTAACATTAACACGTACATAAATAATATTGTTTTATAACAACCCCTTCAATTAGTGCTTTAGTGATCAACATATGTACTGAGCATGTTGGCAAACTGTAATTGTGCTTTGTCTTTTTAATTTCGTCTACTCCCTGCAATGCCACGTATATAACATGTCCCAAGGAGACATTGGGCATCAAGCTCCCTTTTCTCATTATGATCGTCAAGTATTTCACCTTTGAAGTCCAGGTAGGCTAGGCACTCCTACAGATGCCGACCCCTTCCATGTCTAGGCAGCATAGACAAACGTGTAAGTCATGCAGTATTGGGGAAGCTACTTCGAAAGCTTTGCAAGCTACCAATTATTTCACACTAGAAGAAGTTGGATTATAACAAAGTTACCCTGGGGAGAAATCATGTTTGGGTAACTAAAGCTACTTAGAAAAATTTGTTCAAACTGTATCAAATTGACAATATATGTGATGTGATACAAAATTATAACTAAATATAATTTAAAAAAGTCACATGCCAGCAAAAAATGACACTCATTGCCACCAATTACATTTTACAGGTTAGTGTACAGATGCAGATTAGGAACCAGCAGTCTCCAGATGCCACTTGCAATAGTGTGGCTTTAGAATCTCTTCAGTGAATGTAGACTGTATTCTCTTTCTGCTGCTAACGTCCGACCTGCTGCTTTTTCCTGCTTTCTGTTTAAAGATGACATTACACATTGATATAATTAATATGTTTTTCTCACAATAAACGCAATAGTTTGTGTCTTGAAAACGACAGGTTGTACAGCAGCCATCAGCAGCATGTACATAACCAGGAAAATCAGGATACTCCAGTGTTAACGGCTTCTAGAATTAATCATTTTAAACATACAAAGAAAAATAGACAGTCCATTCAAGGACAGGAGATTCTGTTTCCTAGCAACACCAAAATAATGAAAAAGTGACCACTAGCTAATCTCCTTTAGTTTTATGGGTCCCTAGGAGAGACGTGTGGGGTTATCACAATATATTACACATCTGATTTTCTATTTAAAGATTAGTACAGAACATGTACCTTGGTAAAATCAATCACCATGATTAGTATTCTAATCATTTCTATTTCTGAAGGCAGTCAGACAAGAAACATAATTTTCAGCATCTGACAAATACCTAAGTCTAATTTGAAGGTCTCAGATAAAGTGAACATCCATTTTATCAGGCAATCGGAGTCATTCCTTTCACTTCTCAGGCAGTTACAGTCACATGTGGGTGATATCCGAGGGAGCACACACACTGAAGTAAAACAATCTGACAAAGGACCACAAAGGTCACAGTACCTACTCACTTCACTTATCACTACCGAGTGGAGTTGGGCCAGGATCAGCCTTCCTAATAAATCACAATGAGGTCTAATTATAAAATGACTGTAATTATTTGTGAATGATGCACCAGTGACTGAGTCGAACCTGACACACACATACACGCACTTTGAAAGATGTGTGAACAACTTTCTTTCAACAGCACACAGCTGCTCTGTTGATGAAGGTTCATAAGTGAGGTTAATTAAACAGTATGTCTCATCACATCCTCACAGTTTTCCTTTCTCCCATCTCCCTCACCCACCTTACCTCACAACCACGGAATTGGATGGGTTTACCTGTGGGACAAAGTGAAACACGTTCAGCAAGAGCCTGGTGACAGCTGGAAATCGGGAACTGAACTAAAACAACATGAATGAACAAATATCTTTGAAGATGTTTTAATTATATTAATAATGAATTTCAACTTTTTCTAATTCAATCTAAGATTGTCAAGAATGGCTGGCCTTTTGGAATAATGTAATGTAAATTGCATTTGCTTTGAACATATTTCATGGTTTAAATCATTGAAGGATACTTAAAAGAATCTTTTACTTGATGTACCTGCTATACGAAAGTGCAGTTTTTCACATCTCATTCTTTTTCCTGAATATTAGGTAAGTTCAAGTTCAAGTTCAAGTTCAAGTAAGTGGTTCAAGAAAAAAATTATTGACATAATTTCCATTAAATTAGCAACCCTTATTGTATGTGCTGTATGTGCGTCATTGCTTTAAAGTTTTCAAGTCCATGACTTATCCAGTTTTTTAATGACTGTCAGTGTTTCCATGTTATATGTGTTTTCAGAAAGAACGACCAGGAAACATGATAATCATCATACTTTTTTTAGCTTTAGTTGAGATAAAGTTCCAACTTGACAAACCAACACACGAGTGAAATGAGGGGAAGAATCACCATTCACTGCTCTTTACATCTTTGAGGATTTTCAGCCATCTAGGTTTTTGCTGTTTTGATTATTCATGGTTGAAATCAGTATTTCATTTGAAAGTGCAAAGAGGATAGGCAATATAGAATTAGGGTAAAAGAATGAGTTAAAAGATTATCTGTTGTTGCTTAAGGAACAGCAATATTTATTCAAACAGAGCAGTTAAAGTGACATATTAGTTCCATATATAACTTACAGAATAGGGCTGGACAATATGACCAAACTCTATAGCACAATGTAAATGTAACTTTATAACTATAAATAAACAATATATTTTTTTTTCTTAATACATTAGTGCCCAATAATATTAACTTTTTTACTGGCTTCATAATATTTGTCCAGTGTAAGGTTTTGGACCTGTGGACAGTGGGCAGATGGCTGGACTTCTGGTCATATGCTTGTTCTAGCTATTCTTCAATTGTATGGTATTCTGACAGTTTCATTTGTTGGAAATTACTGTATGAGTGAATTCAGGTCTGTAAGAGATTCATAATCAGTAATTTGATAAATTAAGTGCATTGTCCAGCCCCACTCCAGAAGTTATGGCCAAGGTCAAGGGAACACAGGACTAAATGAAATGGACTCAGTGTAGAAAACAATAAATGGAACCAGTCCATGTCCAGATTGTTCATCATCCCAAAGGGAGGACAAAGCGGTCAAGATGTTAAGTAAAACCTCCTAAAGGTGAATCTGCATGCAAGTCTCTCAGTACACACAACAGATAGTTTAAATCTGAATGAAAGCAGCTCAATTGTACGCAACAGAATGCACAATCACAATCAAGATCATTTCTCAGCCTAAAGTGAACTGACAAAATGATTAATAAGACTCCAAAGACTGATTTCCTCCAGGCTGAAATTCATATAATAATGACTTAGAATAAAATTAATTGATTGTGCTTTTATAACCAAAGTAGAACAAATAATACAAAGACAAGATGTACATCACTTATAAAACATTAACACTGTTATATAAAATTTGAATTTGAAGCACTTCTGTGGCAGTAAACAATTTCAAGAATTTACAAGATGGCTGGTAATGACTGAATAACAATTACAGTAAAATAACAAGACAACTGACAAGCAAAGATCATGTATGGACCGCATCAAGCAGTCATGGACAATATTTGTGTAGACACTCACAATCGCCATCAAATGTGCATTCATCTTAGTTTGCTGAACAACCAGCGGTTCAGGCTCTGGGAAGCTGGCCACCCAAAAAGCAAACAATAAACAGTGCATCAAATTGAAGTCAATAGACTTAAACATGAAAGCACTTTTTTTTTCTTTTTTCCAACACCTAATGAGAAATTTGAAGTAGAAAACAATAGCATGTATTGTGCAGTCTTTTTCCATATCGTAAAGGTCATAGTCCTTCGTCTGAAGCAACTGCAGGAAATTCCTTTTGTGCTCACGTTGCTTCTTAGCTTTTCAGGAACTGTGAAGACAAAGCAGCTTAATGTTTCTCTCATTGAACTTAATGTACTCAGTGTGTCACAGATCATGAAAGACAAAAGAAAGGCAAAATAAATTTATATCAAGTAGCTAACAGAGAATTTTAAATCTGGATTCCTGTTTTTGATTTACCTCTTCCACCTGTCCGGTCGGTGCTACCTGTCCTCTCTGTTTGGTCCTTGAGTCTCCACATGACATAAAGCTGGATGAATTAGTACCATCGGGGTCCCTTTGAGCTTGACCTGATGGGAAAGAGGGACGACTGTACAGAAAGATGTCCCCAAATTCTGAAGGACAGACAAGGAGGAAAACCTTTTAGTTCATTAAATCTATTTAAAAAATGTTTATTAAAAAGGCCTAAAGTGTGAAATACAATCCACTCATTACCTGAGTGCTGTCGGCTTTTGCTGCTTCCCTTTCCTCCTTGTTGGATCTTGTGCTTGTCCTGGCTCTCTCTCTGCTCACATGCAGCCTCCTTCACTCTATGAGTCCCAGTGCTACCTCGTCGACCCCGGGCCTCCCCGGAGCCCATCCGAGGCAGGGTGGCACCCCTCACTTTATAGTCACCGTGGGACATCTGGCTGGAGAAACTAAGAGGCATGCAAGAGTCTGTGGACACAGTAGAGCACAGCGATCCAAATGTTAGTTTCATTAGAAGATAAAAAGGAGTGAATGTCTAATCTCATTCTCGGCTCAGTCTTTACCATCATTGAAGACATCTTTGGGTTGGTAGTCCTGTTGACCAGACTGGTTCTGTTTATGCCTCCTGGGCCTTTTATGTGTTATTGCAGGACTCATGTTGCTGTCTGTAGACATGGGACTGCTGGGTCGCTGGTGTCGCCGGCCTGAAATTGTCACACAGATTTACCACAAATCTTTAGATTACATAACATGTTACAAATAACAGTCAACTTAATGTTGACATGTAATATAAATACTGATGCATTTTATTTGTCATTTTAAGTGGACATCTATGGGAATTATTTATTACATAACCAACTAAACTAACTATTTATTCTTTATTATTTAGTCATAACTTAACATTTAATGGACGTTTATAGGTACATACTTACATTTAATACCAAGTTTTAAAGGGAATTGATTTGATAAGCCCACAGCAACACGATTTTTTTATTTAAACCTTTGGTTGATAAAACTAATGCCATAGACTCCCCATTAGGCTTCTAGTCTAAAAGTCTATCATAAAGTTTTATGATAAAGATTCATGTGTCTGTAGACTGATGCAAGCTCAGACTGTCATGGATGAAAAAGGCATCATTGAAGAAACACAAAACTTAGTGTATAGTATTGTGTGGCATCTAGCAGTGAAATTGCAGGTTTGTCCATTCTAGGCTACCGCAGAAACATGGTGGGCTTCATGGAAGACGACGCACGTTATCTGTAGATAAAAATGACCTAAGGTAACGAAAACACGAATATTTCTATAATTAGGTGATTACACACTAATAAAAAAAAAACATACTTATGAATATTATACTGCATGCATAGATCATCTTAAATGTTACATACTGGACCTTTAAAGTTGTTATTTCAATACAGAAAGGAAATTTCATCAGTATATTAACAAATTAGTGATTTTTTTTCAATACATTGGAAACACTTTGATCTGCTTAATCATGCAGTCTGGTCAATAGTTTGCAGATTGCTGCACAAAACTGTACAGCTATTTCATTCAAATATCAAATCTTTCTATTGATGCATTGTGACCTGCAGTACTTGCTTTTTATCTTTCTTTATATTTTCTTCTTACTATGTTTATTGTTACGCACCCAAAAAACAAGGCACAAATAAAATACATGGCAAAAAATCTGATCTTTGTCCTGTGCAAAGAAATCAAACAAAGTAGAGAAATATGTCACAGCCATGCTAGCACCTTGGTGAGGCTGTCCTCCACTACACAATGGTTCTATGAGCTAAATGCTAACATCAGAGTGCTAACATGGTCACAGCAGCAGTGATGATGGAGCTACATGGAAAGTTATTACAGTGCATCTTGTGGAAACTATCTATACCAAATATCTATACTATCTATACCAAATATCTATACGAAAGGTCAAGACCATCCACCTGATAGCAGGTGGAGATATTTTTCTCAGAACCATAAATGTCAACCTCACAGTGGCGCTACAGAAAAAGTCAAGAGATCAACAATTAGAATACATCATCTGGGAACTATCAATATCTGTACACAAAACAAAAAATGTCTTCCCTGGAAGCCTTCTCACCTGACTCCTCTGGGTATCTGCACATGCGCAGGCCTACAATATCCCGCGATGAAGCCACTGCCTGGTTGAAATCGCCGTCTGTAAAGAAGGATCCCTCTGAGGTGCTGACAACACTGGACCTGCCTGATGAGATGTTGTCCTCAGATGCTGAGCCCCAGCTGTTAACCATGGACCCCGTGACTGATCTGTCCAGATCCCCGGTGCTGGAGGCTGGGGTCTGCTCCAGCCCATGGAGGAGCAGCTTGTGGGGAGAGGGCTGCTGCAGCTGGTGTTTGTGCTTCTGCCGGTTGTGGTGCTGGCTGTAGTGACTTTCAGCGAGCTCGGCGTCTGTCTCCTCCTCTGCCTCCTCCTCATCCTCTTCCTGCCCGTCAGTGTCCACGCAGAGGGGTATGGAGCTGTAGGTGTGTGTTGGGGAAAGAGGGCGAGGGTGGCTCGTGATGTGCTGGCTGGAAAGTGCATAAAAAACATTATTAAATAAATCAGTTAAAAATGGTTGAATGCAGTGTCAGGGAGGTTTAATTAGGATACCTGAGGTGCTCGGTTCCATCGTGCAGGCCATTGCTCAGGTCTCCCTTTGGTGGCGTGATAGGCGGGTGACTATAGGACACTTCAGTGGATGATGGTGCCCCTCTAACTGGTGGAGTAGGGCAGCCTTCTATTCTCCCCTCTGGATCAAAACTGATAAGAAAAGGACAACTGACATGAGGTAATGGCTAAAGGAATGAGGGGTGCTGGAAGTCCTGACACATTAGTCACAGCCCATTAGACAGCAATGCAAATCCCCTGGCCCTCCATCCAAACACTCACATTTCCATCATAGAAAAACCTATAAAGATGAACAATACGCTTTCTGCACCATCTGTTTTTTTTTATTGCATCTCTTAAATGCAGGCTTCTTTCTGTTCTGTTCATTGTACATTACATGGACTAATTTCAATTATATAAAACCTGCTGTCATAGTACACTGGCTGTCTGAAAATGACAAACTGTGTATTCAGTTTGGTGTTAGCTGTGACAATATGGCCATGTTTGGGCAGAAGGTTTGCAGCTAAAAGAATTCCTCAGATGACGCTTGTATGAGTAAGATAACTTTATCATATTATTGTTTTTTTTTCAGTCAGTTTAATATGGTGGGCTACAGTTTGCTAAGGAGCAACATAATATGCAATAGCTGGGAATCTAACATGGCATATTCAGGATGGACAATCAGAACACATAAAGTAATACAATTAGTGCATATTTTAGGCCATCTTGAAGTGCACAACTGTAGCTGTTGGCAGCAACTGTTCAATACCCCATATAAACACTACCAATGAAGGAGCAATGCATGTATGTGTGTCTGTGTATTAGTGTTTGCTAAATAAAAGTACATTCATCTGTGTCTTTTTCCCCATACCTCCTTTCCATGGGTAGGCTATACTCATCACAGTCCCAGGCATTAGCATGCGGAGTAGACTGGCCTTCTCCCCAGGTTACTGCATTATGTTTCGGGATCTTTGGGGCCCGCGTTCCCTTCCTTTGATTTTGACTCCCTAAGAAATGAGAAGAAAACATCAAGGTAAACACAGACTCATGGCTTGCCTCATTAGAATTCACGGCAGCCAGCCTTACCTGAGGTGCTGTTGCTGCCTCTGTCTGAGCTGTGGTGTGAGCCTCCTGTACTGTGATCACGCATCTGGTTGTAGGGGATAGTTTTAGGATGGATCATTCCTTCACTTCCTTGCAGATGATCTGAAGACAAAGACGCAATTTGCAACATCTTTCTTATTTTCATATAAATGATGTAAAGCAAATCCAGGTCAATCTTACTTTACCTTTATTTAGCATGTTTTGCTCAATTATGTTGTACTGCATCTGTGCTGCCATCTCCTTTGGTATTGGAGGCAAGTTGGGGGGCTGTTTCCAGCACGGCACGTCCAGAGGCTCTGCTATAGCGCCACCAGTGGCTGCCTTATTCTTAATGCTGGCCTGAATGAGCTGTGTGGTGGCATATGGGATGGGTTCATATGTGGCTGCTGAATCTCCGCCTGGACTCGCATAGCACAAGTTGGAGTTGGTGAACGTTTTAATCTCATTGAGTTTGTTGGAGAGGTTCACATCGCTGTAAATGGCCGTCTCTGAACCAAGCTGTCCCCCCTGTTTGTTTTCTGGATGGTTCCCATAGTTGGCTATGCAGTCAGCTGGGGAGGGAATATAAGACAAAGCAGCACTTGAACACAGCAAGAGCACAAGTCACAAAGCTTCTGCAAGGCTGGAAGCTGTTGAATTTTTATTAAACACACAATATATACCTCAGAGGACAGCACCTGAACTATGACATGTACTCAGTCTTGCACTGACCTGGTCGGCTGTATGTTGTCATGTTACTGTCGCTGGTGCCATTGCCGTTATTGCAGCAGTTGATGCTACAGTCCTTGTGATTGGCACATGCATTTGGCCAATTGTCTGGCAGCCACAGCTGGTTTAGAGGCTCGCCCATGCTGAGAAGGCCAGGTCTGCAACAAGGAGGACCACAGTGCTGTCAATCAAAACCTGCATATTTCGCTGATGAATGAGCATGGGGTGGATGCATGAGGTTCGCATCCTTTAGAGCAGGTAGACACCTCCCCCTAGTGTTTTCACAAGGTAAATGCATTTCTCCTGTCAGTCTTTATATAACACAAAGGAACAAAAATATCACTCACCTGCCAGCACTGCACACAGATTCTCCTCTTTGATATGCGACTGCAAAGAGAAACAGAAAAACATTAAACCTTGATGAGCTGTCAAAAAGAGGAAGTGCCAAAGGCAGAGAGAAAACATGAAAGGCAGGGAGACATTTGAAACAAAAATCTTAAGTCAGAAGTGTAGACTTACTTCAATACATGCTTCCTTCGACAGGGCATAGAGTCTGACTCTACGGTTTAATGTACATGAAGACAACACAAATAATTGCCTGTGCCTTTACCGATCTCAGCATAACTTCATACTGTTAGAGACAGTTTCTCTTCCAATCACCAGTAAAACATCAAACAAATAAAAAGTCTTCTGTAGAATACATTCCATATTTTCCTTATTTAATCAAATAAACCTAACCTGTGGAGCAGGTGGGCTTACCACACTGTCAGCATATAAATGTGCTTCAAAACACATTGCTGCTTTATGTACTGTATAAATTAGTTTCTACTTTAGAGAAGATATATTTAATCAATTTTAGCTCATAAACTTGTTTTACTTTATTTAATCACACTTCATTTGCTTTTGTTTGCTGTAAATTCCATGATGAGATGTTCATAAATCCCACATATAGTTCTTTTAGCCTTGTGCAATCTTTTAGCTGTGCTTCCATACCTTTCCATTTTAATATGTAAATGACCATGAAAAAACTGATATGCACCCATCAGTGAGTTCTGTTCTATTTATTTTATTTATTCTTTATTTTCTCTTTAATTTCGCCTACTTATTTTATTCCATCTTTATTTATTTTACCTACTTGTTATAGATATGTGTTATCAGTTTACCTTCTTGTATTTCAACATTTTCAGCAATTTTATGAGTTTTGTAGGTTTATCCCTTGTTATATATTTTTGGGTGTGTAAATTGTTTAGGTATCTTTGCTGTGTTTTCTGTTGTTCTGCATCAAGAGTGTCTAGCGCTCGGTTTCGAAGACTATTTTTTATGAAAGTGCTATACAAAATAGATAGTTATGGTTTGGATCTTATTTTATTATGGTATATTCAGGGTTTTAATTCAGCACTTTTTCTCAAATTGAGCTCTACATATATAGTTTTACTTATGTGGCCAAAATGTTACATAATAAAAGAAAAATTATATTAACACTATGAATCATACTGTACATACCTGTAGGTGTAAGCGTGTGAGATGACGCGGGACTGTTTAGACAGACATATAGAGGATAGAGGAAGGGAGGGTATTGATTGAGGCATTTAGTGATATTTTCAATAGGACTACCACTGAGATAGTTGCTATGTTGCTAGGGTTATATCACACTAATGAGGTGTGTCCTCTGTCTAAGGCATGTTCTTCTCTGCTGTGTGATGTACATGTCGTATTTGCGATGCTGAATTAACGGATGTGTATTCGAACATGGTTTGTGTGAGAAATAAACATTGCATTATCTGGCTATTCTGCTGTTCCTCTGTCTTTGGCAACACGAGTGTCTCCATGTGTGTTATAAGGAATGTTAGTATGGGGGTGTGATCATGCATGTCCGAGAGGAAGAGGAGAAGGGAAAATAACAGCATATTTGAGGCAGACATGGTATAAAAGTGCCGCGCGGTGGTGACGGAGTTGGTTGGTTCTCACCTCAAAACGTATGCTGTGTGAGAGGAGAGGTTGACTTGTCTACTCCTCGAAATGAGCCTGCTACAAGCTCAGCCTTTTACTGTTGCTGCATAGTCGCAAATGCAAATTGTTGTTTCTGAAGTCTTTTGTGTGCCAAAAGCAGATTAGGCCCGAGTATTTTTCACCCTTTGATGTGATCTGCTTATCGGCCTCTGAAAATATTCCGTAATATCACTGAGACGAAGACTGAAATGCTGTTTAGTGTGGTGGCAACATGTCATGGCTTGATCCCTTCTACAATCATAACGACCTTCAAAAGTGACATGATAACCCGTTTTGCAGACGCACACTTGGCCTATATGGTGAGCATCTTGAACAGACACACATCTATCTGTCTGCCTTTCTGAAACACACACACACACAACAAAGAAACACACACCCTTGCGGATGCCAGTGTATGTGCTGCTGAGGCCACTTCTCTTCTTGCGGTGCCGGTAGAGCCACACACTGAAAATCATGAGGACCAACCAGCAGGTGGCGCCAATGCCCGCAATAAATGCCGGCTGCCTCACCACATCTGAGATCTGAGACAAAGTGTCCCTTTCCTCGCTGATATCCATCATCTGGCCTGCGGAGTCTGATCAGTAAAATAAGAGACAAATCATTATATGTGCATGAAAACAGCAGTGAAAGCATAACTGAAGATTTAATCGTACACAAAAATGTTGATGCTGCAGCAAAGACACAACAGCAATCTACAAGTAAGTACAATATGATGCTTTATTTGGACACTGTATAAGAAAAGAGAGGCTAACAAACATTATAGAAGTTTTCCACCTGAGATACTGTCACAGTTTTTAGGCCTATTTTTGTCACACCTTACTAAACAATTGGGAGGACTCTCACCCAATTGAAAGAAAGTGACGTCACTTTTGACCCCAGGTCCGGCGCCGTTGCTGGCTGCAACCTCTACGCTGTATCGAATTCCTGGTGCCAGACTGGGAATGAGCACAGAGAAGGTGGAGCCGTCGACTGACTGGTTTACATGGTACCGACTCTCGTTACCCAGGCACCAGATCTGTCAAGAAAAGGCGAGGAGGAGACGGGATAACAGTGATTGCCTGAGGGACACATCCAACAACACAAGAGGCACCAGCAGCCTGACAAAGATTCCATTTACATTTTAACTGCGATTCGCATGATTCACAGCATGAGTACAGCAGAGGGCGGGAGCCTTCTTTTCATACCTTGTACTCCTGAATGACTCCAGCCTCTTCCTGCTCCGGAGGAGGTTTCCAAGCAACGAGGATGGCAGTCCCATTGGCATCACTCTTTGTCACTGTAACGCCCTGGGGTGCTCTGCTTGGGGCTAAGACAATGAAGCATACAGTTAACCACGCAGACATAAACACAATCTCATCTGATTCTTTAAGCATGGTACGGCCTGAATCTCTAACAGCTTTGCGCCCTTAAAAGAGCAATCGAGAAATATTAAAGAGCAGTATTAAATTCCTCTATATTATATTTATAGATACACTGCATACTGTAGAATAAAAGTTCTCAGAAAGTCACCTTCTTCCAGTGTCCTGACTACCTTCACCTCGCTGTCAGCTCCCTGGAACTCATCAAAGAAGGGGCGCACTTTGAACTCGTAGATGGATCCTCTCTTCAGCTGACCGATCACCACTCCATCCTCCCGTGGGGCACGTACCTCCAGGACATTCCACTGCCCCTCCGGCTTGCCGTGCTCAGCGGATGCCCTGTAAAGCACCTTGTAACCCTGGATGTATGGGGACTGCTGCTCGACCTAGTGGAGATGCAGGGATAAAACATGCATAAATGTCATAATGTGACAACGAGACCCTTTGATCACGAGAGACTAAACTGGGTTTAAATCAAAGAGAAGTGTGGCTGTACTGTTGTAATGTAAAGGCTCCACAATATTACCTGCATGTGACTTAAAACAATATACATCTAGGAGGTTAGAGCCTCATCTCGTGTGAGAGTGAAAATCCTGCAGGAAGGATCTGTTAATACTCAGTTAATTCCATTCGTCTTTAGGGTAATACAGATTAACATTTTCCTCATATCTGTGAAATCTCACCGTAAACCACAATATGAGGTCATTAATCGTTTCCCCTCAGCATGGTTCTGGTTAAAATCAAGCCAGGAGAGGACTAAGCACTTTCCATTTAAACCATATAATTATGACAAAGGATGCCTTAAAACATTTCTGTGGAGGCATATGCATGTGTTTGGAACAAGGCATAATGTATCACACCAAAGACAAATTCACTTCCCTATGTAATGGATTGATTGTCTGCTCATAAATGTTTATAGAAAAAAAAAACACATGTATATTCAACATTAAATAAAAAAAACACTTTTAGACAGTTTTAGCCTAGATAGTATTTAAATTTCTATATTTTACTGTATCTCTGTTGAAAATGAGAGCTCACCTCTTCATGTTGTTGGTAAGAATAAGGGAAAACATATCAGAGGGCAGAAAGCTGCTCAGTAATAATCCTCTCTGTCAGCACAGTCTTGATTTGCTGTTAAATACATAACCCCTTGGCTTTTACCTCATTTGTTTATGTATAGTGTGTGTTTACATTTACTGGTAAAATTGCACTTTTGACCTTTTCCCATATTTACCCTAACTTTGACATAGAGTACATGTAGCAAAAAATGTTAATTGCGTGCGGGACACTCATCATGGAGTGGTCCCCTCACCATCCACTGCACCCTGACAGCAGAAGACGAAAGGACGGTTGGTGTGTGCAGGTGAATAACCACATCTCCCAGCTCCCTCTGGATGTGGCGGTGATCCACTCCCTGCATGGTGGAAGTGCTGTCTGTTGATGCAAAAGGGACAAAAAGAAGTGAAATAGAAACAATGAAGCAATCATTTCAACTGAAATAAACAGCAGATGATATCTGTTCAATGAAATGAGGCTAAAAAAAAAGGATGAAAAGCACACACACTGACCCTGTGTTCTAACAGAGTCAGAGATTGGACTGGGGTCGCTGAGGCCATAAGCATTCACCGCTCGGACCATAAACAGGTAGACAGTAGCAGGCTTCAGGTTCCTCAGGACAAAGGTCTGTGTTTTTATATGCTCTGCTAAGGTCACCCATCTGCTGCCTAATGTATAACTGCAAGGAGAAAAACACACAGGTACAAGGCAAGTTTCATCACATGATAAATATGATATACAGTTAATAATTAAAACACACTGAATACAACATAGGTCGAACCTGAATGCCTCGATGAGGTAAGATGTAGGTGTTGCACCAGCATTGGGGTTGGATTTCCACGACAGAGTGAGAGAGGTACGGCTGATGTCAGTCACCTCAGGTTTAGATGGAGCACTGGGAATCAGGTTAGGGTCTATAGGGTGACTGGACTGAACAACAACTCCAAACTCTGCCACAGAGATACCAACAAATCCATTAAAGTACACTATAAATGACTCTTCAGTATGTATTAACAGCCTTTATGACTATATATATCTATATATCAATTAGTGTAACCTACCCTCCACCTGTAAGTATGCTGTCCAGGAAGCCTCTCCATTGGAGCTAGAAGCTACACAGGTGTAGAAGCCTGTATCTCCAAGCTGAGGAGAGGAAGTACAGTGGCAGATATGAGTGGGTTGTTTGGCTCAGTGCAGCTACTGTAACTGATTGCTAACTGCTGTATTACTTTATCCCCTACCTTAGCGTAGCGAATCTCCAGTGACCCTGCGTCTGCTATGGACATGCGGGAGTCCACTGGAGACACTACCACACCGTCCCTCTTCCAGTGGACTGTAGGAGGTGGTGAGCCAGATGTTTGGCAACCCAGGACCACTGTGCTGTCCACAGGCACAGTCTGATTGAGTGGACCCTGCCTAATCACAGGAGGAGGGTGGTCTGACCCAGCTAACAAAAAAAAGAGAAAGTAGGGAAGTGAAAGACTAACAGGTGCTTTTTAGTATTTCGAGCAGACTATGTAGTGTGATCAAATTGGAAACATTACAAAATAAAATATAATAAACAATGCCAGCATGCATTCTTAAATTGCCTTCGAGTATGATGATGGACAACCCACAATGCAACACACAAATTATGGACCCACTTACATCAAGAAAAAACTGAAATAACTGTCGGTCAACGACAAAGCCAACAAAACTAAATTTAAAGTAATAGGTACTTCATAAACGTTTTTATTTGCTATTCATGAAGTTTTCGAATGAATTATGGTAGTGATGTCCTAGAGACTGTGGAAACTCCACTTTTGAAATGAAATGAGCTCACTATGTCACTGTTCACTGCAAACACAAATTACTTATAACTATATATGTATACACATATACATTTAATTGTTTTGCCTACAAAAGCCATTCCAGCTAAAACATGTTTATGGTTTTTGTGGTCATGTTTAGGCAACTAAAAGCATCTCTTGGAGGTTAGAGGAACATTGTGGTCATCATAAGTACAGTACGGCTAAAGTAAGGTTAAGCGTAGGCACTGAAAACTCTCTTGTTGCATGAGGTTACGGAAATCTGAGATCTCGGTCTCAGGTGTTCATGTGCTTTGTATGCCTAATATAGAGGAAACAGGTTTTCTAAATTGAAGCCTGTCACAGGATGTCCCAACATCTCCTGTTGGTACAAAAGGTAACAGTAGGCGTATTATGGCAGAGTTATGCGTATCATATAACCCCAATGTCTCAGGTTTGATTCTGGTTGGTGACCTTTGTTGCACGTCACCCCCTTACCTCTTCCTGCCCTTTCCTGTCTGTATGTCTACTATCACTACTGAATGAAGGCAAAATGCCAAAAAAAAACAGTACACTGTCAACAGTATATTATGGAATTGGAAATTGGGAAAGGTTGTTCACAAAAGATCAAAGTTATGAAGACAGAGACAGAAATAAAAGTAAGAAAGATGAAAGTAGAGAAAATGAGAATGAAATTCTGCCAAAAAATGAAAGCCAGATAAGATGTGAAAGATATTGAGAGGCAAATTGGTAAAGAGAGAACAATAGGTTTAGGTGGCTGTGCAGGCAGTGAAGGAAAAAGAAATCAACTTTTCCCCTCCAGCGGAGAGCAACTAATCGTTCACTCGGCAGTGGGTTCTGCTGGAGCCGACTCCAATCACAACGGCAAAGCCCAACTAATAACAATTCCACTTAGATAACAGAGCTCTCTCTTCTCTCTCTCTCTCTCTCTTACATTTTAAAACCCTGTGGATGGGGGCAGGGGTTCTAGATAAATAAATAAATATACCAACAAAAAAAAAAAAGGTGATGGAAACACGCCTTGAAAACTGCCGGAGGTAATGTGGACCAGTTATTTCCATAAAAATGCACCACTCCAAATGGGGATGAGAGGAGTGTGGTGGGATGGAGAGAATTTGGGGGAGGGGAGAGTAGAGAGAAACAGGAACGTGCGAGTGCAGTGCCATAGACCACTGGAAAAAATCACATAAAACATGACCCCATCTTTTTTATTTCCATTACCTGTAACAGACTTTTCACTGAGTGGATGCCTCTCATTTCCCTACTAAGGTGGCTGCAGGACGCAGTACCAGTGTGAGCATCAGATTATCCTTTGGAGCTAATAGGGCTGCACTGAACAACTCAATGTGTACATGCAGTATGTTTAAGCCTGAAGCAATTACCTTCATTAATTTAATATATGTACATGTACAAAGTTACCCAGAAACATGTATTCATGATAACACAGGTCATTTAATTGGTAGCTTGTAGACTTTGCTGGCGGTGTGTAATTACTGGTGTGGGCCTCCAAGCACATTTAAATTGCTTTTTAACAATTAACACAGTTATTTCATCACCTAGGATTTGGATGGCAATCCCTCAGACCACATTTAATATAAAAGTACCTATGAACTGTATCATGTGTCAATCCTGCAGTCATATTTCACTGAAATGTACAGTAAAATAGAACACTACGTTGTATAACGTGGAGTCACGATGGATAATCATTATTCTATTTCCCCTAGTCCTCTTTACTTAGATCATATACCCTACAGTAGCAAGTTAGGAAATTATATTTTTAGAGGTAAGAGAGATAAGGCCAGACACTCGTTACACACATGTTGTTCACACACATCACCATGGAAACAGAGCGTTTTCAGCCCAACATGTGAACAACATATCCTAAAATCTCTTCCCTCTTGAAATCCCTCCTCTGACAGTTAGTAACCAGGGCCAACTACCACACCTATAAGGGAGGGTAGCTCCCCCGCGTCTGCAACCAAGGCCAGTTTGTAGCCTAATACACCTGCCTAACAAAGGAAACCCGCAGCAGCAAAGTAGTCTGTTTGCCAAAACACAAACCATTGAAGCTAGAAATGTGCAGAATAAAGTCCCCCCCCATGTGCCCTCCACCACTCCTTCCCTTTACTCACAGTCTGTGACCTCCAGCAGTGCTTTGGTAATAACACTGCCAGCGATGTTGAGAGCCTGGCAGCTGTAGAAGCCGCCATCAGAGCGCTGAACATCGGTAATGGTCAAACTGCCCATCTGGGAGACAGAAAGACGGCTAAAGGGCTGTGGAGGCTGGTAAGAGAAGAGGAGACTCTGTAAGGGGAAGCAGAGATCACATAGTTAGAAACCCATTCACTTGCTTTATTTGCACAGAGTAGTCATTTAGTCTGATGACAGACTGAGGGCCAATCTCACCTCACTTCCCTCCTTCTGCCAGAAGATAGCAGGCTGTGGGTTGCCAGTGGCCTCACACTGGAAGGTGACCGTCCTGCCCACAGTCACCACCTGGTTCCTGGGGCGTATGGCAAATGCTGGGGGCACTGCAGAGGAAGAGAGGCCTTAATTAGATGGCAGCCTGATACATTTTCATCATTCCAAGTTTTAGATCATCTTAGTATAAAAAGCTATGTGAGTATGTAGCACAAAACAGTCACTATTTACCTGTTTTTTTTAATGAAAAAACTGCATTTTTTTTTTATTCATTTACCTACACATAACATAAATTACATACTGTATTGGTGGATGGAATTACAGTTCCAGATAGGACAATAACAGGGGCTCATGATTTCCTGTTGCTGTCTGGTGGTGGATGAGAGATGGATGACAACTTACCAGTATTGACTACAAGGGAAAAGACACACAAAAAAGAACAGTGTAATGAGTAATAAAGGCACACACTGGGATATGGATCTACAATGATGCACTCAACAGTACTGATACATGCTTGAATGAGTGAGCATAACACAATTAACAGTTGGTAATAAGGAGGTGCAATATTAATAAATAATGAGTATAAATAATATTATTTATTAGAGTTATTAGAGTTAAGTTTTTCACTTTTGGTTTATAATATCTTCGTTTTATTTCTTTTATTCCTTTAATAAAATAGTATTTCTTATAGTTTAGTATAGTTTAAGGAGATTATGCTTTGGAATTAAAAGTAAAATATTTCTTCAGATGCCCAAATGTTTAATGATCAAAAAGTCAAGGGACAAGGCATGCTGTTTAGCCCCTATTAGACCCTGCAGACCAGTTGACTGTGGGGTGTGAAAAGTCTGTGTAATTGCAGGTTTAAGTTACAGAGCCAGCCAGCCTTGAGGCGTATTTGGACAAAGATACCAACCCCTAATGAGGACATAAACCTGTGAGGGGTGAGGAAGGAGCATTGTGTCTGGATAGGAGGTAGAAGTGGGGAGCTGCTGGTGCTATGCAGGCATCTGCTATGCTAATTGTACTACACAAACAACCACACATTTTGAGATGGGAACTACTGTACATCTTGACATCTGTAAACTAGATTTATAGTGAAATGAATGGCTAGCTAACCAGCTGGTTTTGGAACTACTGCAAGATGACTGTGGTTATTGCTCAACATTTTTGTGAATTTCTTTTTAAAAAAGTAAAGCACATGATTTTGCAGGAAAGCTGGGTTTAATCACCCTGTCTGAAAAGATGAGTATCATGTATGGGCAACTTTATCTAATTTCTCCCAAGTTCATGTCTGAGAAAATTCAGATCATTTTCATGAGTGTAACGCTCAAGAGTCATTTGATCTCATACTTGGGAAAACCTTATGAGTAAGGGCCTTGGCCTGCTAAATCTGTTTAAATGGCAACTGTTTAATATCAACCAAATGTTCTAGGTCAGTAAAAATGATTCTGTGGTTACGACTATAGCTATGATTGAAAAAAAAATGAAACACACATTTACTTGATGGCTCTTTGTTTCCTCCCACAATACAACTTCTACTCATCTCCCAGTTATTGTACCCTTCTCCATTCCCTGCCCAAATTAGCTATGGTCCCCCTTGACGCTCATTTTCTCAGGTTTTTGGAAGGGAGAGGAAGACCACGTAATTGGAACCTTGTCATTTCCCAGCATGCCACCAGCCCTGCCTTATCTTTAATTAAGTCCTACTGTCCTCACAGTCTATGTCACCCACTGTGCCACTGCCGTGTGTGTGCGTGTTTATGTGTTTATATATATATATATATATATATGGTTCAGTGTGTGCAACTATGAGAGGTGTCTTACTGTTTATTTCCTGCCACTGATTTAAGGACTAAAGGGTGTCATTGTGGCAGGGAAACTAAGACCAAAATGATTCCATTTTCTGTGGTCACGTAAACATTTACTTTGCATGCTCCTCTCAGTTTATACAGGACATTACTATGAAACTGTACTGTAAACAAACTGCTGTTATGTCATATACTCCTTTTTATTCAGCACTGGAGATTGCTGCATACATTATATGACCTCAAGCCAGGAAGTGAAAAAGAAAAAACACACACAGAAACCTGGGAGATAAGTCTGCCTGTCTGTACTGTCTTGAGAGCAACAGCCTAAAGCACAATAATGAAAACTAGGTCTGGATAAAAGGCAAGGTAAAAGTCACTGCCTGCTAATTTGTGACACTACAAGACACGATTAGTTCACCAGTTCGGCTAGAAGTAGCTGTCTTACAAATACTCAAAAAAGGACATCTGAGGCTGTGCAAAAAGTGTGTGAACTGTGTACAGAAGAGAAGGTGGTGCTTCCGTTAGAGGACATTGCATGTGAGGGTCGGGTTGTACTGACCGTGTACAGTGAGCGTGGCGGATGCTTCAGACTTTCCAACCATGTTCTCCACCACACATGTATAGGAGCCCTCATCTGAAGAGGTCACTTGGCGAACAATCAAGGTATGGTCCTCTAGGATTTCAAATCTGTAGAGCAGGACGGACACACACAATCACGAGATGAAAGAAAAAGTCGAAACGCTGCGTTTGCATGGTAAATTAATGTGTATAGAGGGCCTTTGTGCATTACCGGCCCTTAGGCAGGTCAGAATCATCTTTCCTCCAGCGGACAGTGGGAACAGGGTCTCCTTGAACCACACAGTGAAACTCCACGCTCTCGTCTGCCAACACCACAACACTGCTGGGCCGCTTCACGAAGGTCGGGCGCTCTGGAGGGCAGTACATGGGCAACACCAATATAATCATCACTGTCATGAACGCCATCTATATCCCTGCACTTTTTTATGTTATAGATGTATAGATTCATTCTTCACTAGTCTAGTTTTAAGAACAAAATTCTTGTACATTTATTAGCCTCTTTGTGTAGTTAATGGGACTTATATAAACTACAGTGCACCAAGGGTAATAATGGATTGTTTACTGTCATGCTAACATCCCCTTGATACAAGATGTGAAAGGCATTTTAGCAAAATAGAAACATTTACGTTGGAATTCATACACAGTATTGAATGTGCATATTGAATGTGAGCACAGTCAGTCAGTATCTGGCAAGGTACTGTACAGAATGAATTGAAAATGTTTAAATAACTAGCACTATGCTATCTTGTTTTGTTGTTGTTTTTTCACAGAAAATCTATTTTTACTTGAACATCTGATCAACAATCATTACCAACACTGTATCCAACCAACACCTTGGAGAATTCTAAAAAATCTATATTGCAATCATCATAGTTTGGAAAAATGTAATATTCCAATGATCATCATGTGTCAGTCTCTAAAAACGTTTTTTATGCACAACCTGTTGAACAACATATTCTGACCTGTTTCTGCATTCATGCCTTGAATGGCTCAATAAGACACTATACTCCCAACCTCAACCAAGGTCATCTAACCATGTGATACTGATAAGTGCTCTATTCTGATGGGAAATGTTAGGTGGGGGATGGAGAACAGAGGCTGAAAACAGGATAGGGGGTGTTGGAGGCAGCATAAGGAGCTCTTGTACTGAAAGGTTTGAGGGGTTGCAGCGGCGGATGTAGCAGCGGTAGATGTTCAGCGCGTGTTGGGTGGCAAAACCTCTACAAAGCTGGCAGACTGAATGGTAGTGCTGCATAATCAACGTAATTAATGGGTTATTATACCCCGGTGACAAAGACCTCACATAGCGGACTGGCAAACTAAACCGCTGTGAACTGAGAGGGTACTTAGACGAAGTGAAGCACTGCAACATTGTGAAATGCAATCACAAATCCTCAAATTTTACCTAGCACAGTGAGTTCAGCGATCTCGCTCTCCCTCTCTCCCACCATGTTCGTTCCAACGCAGATGTATTTCCCTGCGTCGCTCTTCCTGGTGTTGGTGATCATCAGTTTGCCACTGCGAATCTAGAAGAAAGCACAAAAAATATTTGCATGGCTGTTTTCACACAAGACCTTACCACCCTTATAAGTACTGTGTTTGTGGGAACATCACTTCATAATGCATAAAAATATGGCCAATTTATACATTTTGCACCACATCATGTTAAGTTTTCACTTCTTTGCTTTGATGCACGATGCCACCCACGTATAATCACGTCTTCGGTTCGTCCATTTTGAAATATACATTGTTATGCACTTGATGGCATAACAGCAAGCGGTGTTGTGTGCAGTTGTGTGCATCTGTATGCATCTCTTTATCTAAGGAATAGAATTTGCACTGCCTTTCAAGCTGCACAGAAGGTCACCCATTATGAAATTACATAATTCATATCTAGTGCTACATTACCACAGAACCCTGGGAACAAAGACACTGCCTCTTTGAGGAGACCTTCCTCAGATGTTCAGTCACCCTACTTTGCCTTTCCCAAACTTTTTACTGTCTCTACTGATATCTGCACGCACACACACACACACACACACACAGGCGCACACACACAACAAAGAGGTGGGAGATATATGCACATACTGTTTTCATTCTTTTTATAACCTCTCCACCATACGCCCCCACAGACCATGGTAGCTGTCTTTATGGTGCTTTAAGTGTGAGCTACTGTTCTGATCGTCTGAAGCTATCCAGTGTTACAGGTGATACCAGAGATACTCTGTGTATGTGTACTATAGTGGGAATGCTGATTTCAAGACCTCAAAACAAACACAAGGCCATTCCCTACACCAAGATATCTGAAACCATCTCCCAGGCATCAACTTCAATTAAACTTTCAGCCCCGTTATGATGATTTAAGATTTTTTCCCTACTCACACTAAGCAATGGAATAGAGACACACATAGCCCTTAATAGCACAGTTCTGTTATATCCTAACAGAGGTCAGAGGTCAAGGCTGCCCACAGTGCTGTGTCCATGAACCAGGCAGGGGATTCGTCATGCTATACCGCACCTGGCATGGTGAGCACTCTCCACTCACCAGCATACAGATGGAATACATCATTAAATTGCTGCTGCAGGGATGAAACCAACAGCCTTTCATTTATTAGTCATCCCCCTCTGGGATAACCTTCCACCACAAACAGTTCATACTGTACACCAAATAAATAACAACCAAGAGTGGCCTAACTACGGCTGACATTCCAAGTCTGTTGCAAATGATGTGGTTTTAAGAGGAAGATTTAACAAACTGTGGTGTGACTTGCGGTAGTGTGTACTTTCATACACAATGCCAACCACTAGTAATCACAAGGAGCAAATGGGGGAATTTGGGAGCTGATAGTGCAGATTCAGCCATTCCTGTCAGTATTCAATGAATTAGGTTTAGATGTTCGGACTCAGTCAATGCAAAATGTTCTATACTTGACATAACTGCTCGATTGCATACAGGAACAGGGTTGTTGCCTTTAATGAGTCACGAATGATATCTGACATTGTTGGGATTGTAGCAACAAAGACAGTGACAGTATTTTTACAGTATTTCAGGTATATAATACATAAAATATAAACATATGAATTTAGCTTTTTTTTATTTTGTAATATAGTTATTTGCACATGAAGGATAAGAGAATTGCAATAATTAAAACAGTTATTAATAAAGGTAAAACAGAGAACTTATGACACAAAGGATTTTTTTTTCCAATTACTTTCATTCATTATTGGCTCATAATCTTTCCCATACTACTAGTTTTCCATTTCATAAAGTAAGCACTAATATTTTCATTAAATGCACAACGATATTAAAATCAGGTGAATGAAGTCACCCAGTTGAATCCAGGATAAAGAGATTTGTGTCTTAGATTCATCGGGCATCTGTTGGCACTGCTGAGTCTATGTAATAACTGTCTCTTGATGAACCTATATCAAATTCTGTGGCAATGTAATGATGCCAGTAAAGTATTCTTCAAGGACTGCAAAGACGATCTTGCTCTAACCAATGCCGTTGACTAATGCTACACTTTTGCCCTGCAACTTTTTTGCTGTTTGCTGTAAATACTGCTGCACTAGTAACTTTAGCAGCTGATTAAAGAGCAGACCAAGCTCTTTTTTATTTCCTGAACTGACCGCTCCTCGTTTTTAGCAGCAATTCCACTGCTAAGAAATCCAAATGTGGTTTGTCTATCCTCCATCTCGGACATCAAAACCTCAGCTTTCGTTTCTGCTCTGTTTCAGAGTGTGTCTCTTTCTCTTTCTTTCTCTTTCTTCCTCACATAGCCTTAGATGCCCTACAGGCACACACATTTTGAGGCTGCTTATAGAGTGATTTACATGTGTTTTCTGTATAAAGGGCACTCAGCTTTTTTAATTAAAATCCATAAATCCCTTTTCCTGTGTGTGAGAGTCTTCGAAAAATCATTATTAAGAATTAACTCACAACTTTAGCTGCGTATCAGTTTTAATAAATGATGGTCCAGGCCACAAGGAGAACTCTCAAAAGAATGGGAAGTAGCCATGAATAACTTGTGGTGGACGCCTTTGGTCTTTGTACAGTAAGTGATGTCTTTGAGTGAACTCTCATGGCAAAGACATATTTCCATATAGAAAAGATGATTGGGGAGGACAAAGACAGGCACGCAGAAAGTACAAAGCAAAAAGCAGCCTTTGTATTTCCCTCAGAGGAGCTTCCCCCCTGGCTCTGATCCCGGCTCTCCTTAAATCAGAGATAGCTGCTCTGTCCATCACAGTCCCCCAGAGAGACTCTACCTGTCACTCCGCACTAACATGAGCTTTGAATCTGCTCTTGTGTGTCCCCGGGAGCATGCACAGACATTCAAATAAACAAATCAACACACACACACACACCTACACACACACACACACACACACACAAAATCATCTGAGTGGCTGAAATGGGAAGCCTTTTTTTGCTGTCCTGACCCATCAGATGCTCCTGGGTCTGGAATCAGTTCAGTGTGTACAGAAACATGAAAAGAAAATCACCTCTGTGTATCGTATGCCACATGACAACTTAATATATCAGATTAATAGCATGCTGTAGCTCATATGATGACTGGTGCCAGCTTGTTGTTGTTTTCTGTTTTTGTGTATTTTTGCCATCAGGCATACAAAAAAGCAATATATTTTGCATATGCAGTAGGTTTATCCTGGGTGGGATCTCAGAGAAGACACAGGTACATGTGATGTTATTATTTAGTCTTCTCCTGACCACATGGCAATTATGAATAAATGCATGTGATCTCGACTTAACAGGCTTGATTTTCCATACTTTAAAATTACTAAGGTGAGAGGAAATTAAACTAAATTGTTTATTTAGAGTTTAGAAATGGGCAACTAAATACCAAAGATTACACCATACAGCTTGTGAAGCACAATCCAAGTGTTATGAAGCCATGTGATTAATAGTATCTTACAGTAAGAGATAACACAGAACATGTTTTGTATCAAGTGTAAATTTCTGTGTGAACAGTTCCTTTAAGATTAGAATGATGTGTGAGGTCAACGTGGTCATCTCTTACTGTGATGCGTTCATCCCTGTCATCTAAGTTTGCACCATCTTTCCTCCAGGAGATCGTGGGTTCAGGGTGCCCACGGGGCGGTTGGCACTCCAGCACTGCGGGCTCACCCACTGCCACCATGACATCCAGTGGGTTCTGTCTGAAGTCATCGCGTAAAACTGGAAAACACACAGAAAAGCAGAACAGTAAATAGAGTGGAATGTAATGACGTTTGGCCATTATTTCGACAATGATAAAATCACAATATTGTTGGTGCCTTCTAGTGGGTTTCTATTTATTGTGTCAATTAGAAGACTCAATGACTGATTCATGTGGTATTAACAGCTTTCACAAGTGTGAAATTTTGAACCTCTGAGTTCAGAAGTGACATACAGTATGTTAATGGCTTTTTTTAAATGCCAGAGCCCAGGAAAATTGCTTTCTTTATTTTTTCTGTTGTCTACCCTTTTCTTGTTCCTAGCATGGTAATGAAGTGCACAAAACACCAAATTATCGCCACTTTTTTAAGGGGAACAAGGCCACTATCAGTTTTTGTCAGTCACCTAGCAACTGCGCTCTCAAGACTTAAATCACTCGAACAGCAGGATATTGTATACTTGACTTCCCATGTCCAAATTACAACCTTAAAGGTTCCATTTGAAAGCAGCATAATAAAGGGTTGTTCGCTAGCTCTGCATATCACATATTTTAAGAGCAGCATGCCAACTATTGCCCAAAATACCTTCATTGTGAATTGTTAATATATGTATTATATCATATATATATATATATAATATATAATTTGTGTAAACACTGCAACATAACTGACCTGCCAGGATCCCTCATGTGGTTACTCCCTTACTCAAGCAGAGGACAAGGTTGAGAAAAGTTGCTGAGAAAGCTGGTTGTCTAAATAGCTGACAGTAAGACAAGAAGATACACTGCTACAGAGAAATGCGGAAAGGTAAGATTCAGACGGCTCCACTAGCAGACAGCGGAAAGCTACCACAGCAATTTATCATCTTTCCGCAACGAGTAGCCTGCGTACAGAGAGCCTGCTCGCCAGCCAGAAGCTGAACTTGAGACAAAGCAAACTTGCATCCACTCCAAGAAGCCCAACAGAAGATTGTGATTTCTGGTGGCCACAGGCAGCTCCTTCCTGTCTACAACACAGGCTGTATATAAAAGTCTCTGATGTACAGCATCAAGCTCCAAACGGCATGAGGAAGAGCAAATTCCTGATGAGCGGCAGGGGATTCTAAAGCTTAAATGTGTCAAAAAAAGAAGAAGAATCAATTGGAATAATGCCAGAGCTCTATCCTGAAGTATGGGACTATTACTTGCTAGTTTAAAGCAAGAAAGGAAGTGGAACTGGGATGTGTAAAAGTGAAAGGGCTTTATCATCTTTATCAATGAAAACACCTTTTGTTTTATATAACTGTGAGAATTTCTGCTCCTGATGAGGTGAACAACATGTGTTAATGTAGACGCCTATGCATGAGTGACTGCTGTTAAGCATTCCCAGTCTTAAATTACAGGAGGGGGCTTAAAACCTGAACAAGCCAAGGGAGCTGAGCCAACATAGAGAGAGAGCAGAACAGCTCAGTAGAGTTGGGTTGGGGTGAAAAGACAGGAAACAATGAGGAAAAGGCATAATCACTCCCAGATGGCGGCAACTCGTTCACCTCTGGCTACGGATTTGTACATAACGCTGGACAAGCAGGCCTGAGACGCCTGATGAGCACCGTGGATATGGGAGAACAAATTGGGATGACCTTCTAATTGGAGGTATTTTGGCCCCCGCACTTCTTTGAGCTCCACTCTGCTGCTCTGCCCCTGTGATCCCCCAAGCAGGGTTGCAACTGGCTGACTGCAGTTGACTGCAGTGCCTGATGGGAAACAGCTGTCTGACGACCCCCTCCCCACCACCGCCACCACCACCATCACCGTGTCACATGATAAAAGGCATTCCTCGTGGGACACAAAAACATGGTTGAGGTTACTTCAGACAGGAAGAAAGTGAGACCATCACAACTGCGCGTACAGTGTGTGTGTGTGTGTGCATGTGAATGTTGTATGCTGCCATCAAGTTAAGAATCAAACAGGAGAATGTGTCATCTAAAAAGAGTAAATATTCAACAATGACACTTCTATCAGTGACAAATACACTCTCAACTTCTAGTGTCCCAGCTCAGATTATTAGTTATTTATGACATTATTACACAAATACTCTTCGGATTCGCTACTCCTTATCAGTGATGGATGAAGCATGCAAATGATTCAAGCACCTCATGAAAGCTTTCACATTTTATCATGTTGGCCTTTCCTGGGGAAAATTGTCTGGCAGATAAAAAGTGAAG